GGGACTTGGGCTGTGCCGGGCACAGCTGTGTGTGCATCTCTGCCTGGGATTACCGGGGTCCGGTGCTGGCTCCGCTGCGGTGTGACCCTGAGGTGCGCGGTGTGACAGACACTGGCGTTGAAAAACGGTTACGGCGAGTGGCAAAGTGACGGCCCCCAGCCTGGCCTCGCAGCTGATGGGGCCGGTCAGGCCCGGCTCCGTGCGGGGGGACTGTGCCGGGCACAGCTGTGTGTGCATCTCTGCCTGGGATTACCGGGGTCCGGTGCTGGCTCCGCTGCGGTGTGACCCTGAGGTGCGCGGTGTGACAGACACTGGCGTTGAAAAACGGTTACGGCGAGTGGCAAAGTGACGGCCCCCAGCCTGGCCTCGCAGCTGATGGGGCCGGTCAGGCCCGGCTCCGTGCGGGGGGAGCTTCCCTACCCTGTGACTGCCCTGGCGCCACCGGTACCTGCCCGAGCGTATCCCCTCCAAGTGCTCCGCTCGTGTTGCTAACTGGCAAAAAGACTTAGAAATGAGTAGTTCACATACCTGCAGAGACAGGAAAGGTTCTGTCCTTGGAGAGACAGCTAAGTTTTTCATCTTTTAGCCGTTCGATACAGTGAAGTTTGTTTCTCCTTTCAGATGATTGAACCGCTTGTGACTACTGAAGCTCAGGAACTGCTGTACCAGCTCACAGCCCTGTTGGAACAGGAGTTGAGATGTCAGCCAAATGCCTCTGGCCTGAGACTCATTGAATCCGCTCACGATAATGGCCTCCGAATGACTGCAAGTCTGCGGGACTTTGAAGTGAAAGATCTCCTCAGCTTAACTCAGTTCTTTGGCTTCCATACAGAGACATTTTCACTAGCTGTGAATTACTTGGATAGATTCGTGTCAAAAATGAAGGTAAGGCTTTTTAAAGTATAAGATCTCAGCCACCAGCTTCTACTCGCTGCAAGCTTGTTCCTATTATAAGTTAGAACGTCTTGGTTTTAGGTGGCTAAAGGTTAAGCTCCTTTCAGAGGTTCTAATTGTGCAGGAACTTAAAAATGGCTTTCCCTGCTCAGATTTTAGTATTGTTAAGAAATCCGTTTCCTCTGGAGAAGGAAGAGGGCATCAGATTCGACTTGAGGATGCCCGTAGGGTTGGAAATGCAGGCTGCATTAAGGGATTAGATCAAGACAGATAATCTTGCCTGTTGCACGTACACAAGAATACCTTAAATTACTTATTTTACTGCTGTTTCAACCTGTCTTTAAGCCTCACGTGTATCAAGAGGCTTGATGCTGTTCAGCACTCAAAATCCTGTAAAACATTTGGTTAGCACTCCGTTCTACCCTGTGTATGTGGCATGCTAACTTGAGTTGCTTTTTTACCATCTAATGAGACAAGATTACCACTACACTATTTGTTCAAGATTAAAAGTTCGTTTTCATTGTGTGTTAAAATAAAAATGAGAAAGCAAGGTGGAGCAGATAGGCAAATGATAACTAGAAATACTTCTGAATCAAAAATAAGCTTTAGAAATGGGAACTATAATGCCTGTGGAATAAAATAAGTCTGTTTATAGATGTATATGTACATATCTGTGTAAATATACACACACTATATGTATATAAAAAATAGTTTAAAAAGCCCGTTTTTTTGCATAACCCATTATGTACAACACTTTAAATCTTAAAAGCTTCTGATTAGGCTATTAGAGAAACTCATTAAGAAACCATTTCTACCTCAACCAAAATATATTGTTCCACAATCTTGCTTTTTAGATGAATGAGGCAGAACTTGTAGTGAACCAAAGGCCTTCCTCTGTGAAAATAACATCAATTTACTTTTCTTTAGGTGCAGCCTAAGCACTTGGGCTGTGTTGGACTCAGCTGCTTCTACTTGGCTGTGAAGGCATCAGAAGAAGAGAGAAATGTGCCCTTAGCCACTGACTTAGTTCGAATAAGCCAGTACAGGTTCACTGTTTCCGATATGATGAGGATGGAGAAAATCATATCGGAGAAGCTGTCTTTTAAAGTCAAAGCTACAACAGCCTTCCAGTTTCTACAACTGTATCATTCACTCATTCATGAGAATTTAAGCTGTGAAAGGTAAAATATCTCGTAGGTATTTTGCTATGACTGCATATGAACAAGAAGCCTATGTAGAAAAGTAAGCAGGGAAACTACTCAACTAGTTTGCCTTTCTGTACTTAAAAAGCCCACAGACTTTCTCACTTATTGGTAAATATAATAAATGTGAGTATCTGGGGTTTAGCATTGTTTAAATTTTAAATGTTGTTTGCATAAAGCAATCTAAAGAGTGTTGTGCTCTGAGCCAAAAACCAAACTTGCTCAATAGTAGTGCTATAATCTCTGCTTTTGCTGCACTAAGTATTGCCTCATTGCAAAGATTGCAATATCTGGTTTAGAAAGATTTCTTCCACTATTAAGCATTAAAATTCCTTGTTGGTAAGGCTCTTTTCACAGTGCAGCTCTCCCCAGCGTAGCACGAGATTTCTTTTTGCTGTTAGGACTGCCAAAGCCGAGCACCTGTTTGAGTGTTACCCTAGAACTTCTGGGACAAATGAGGGTTTTGTTTAGATGACCAACATTGTTGCTGCTTCTCAGAGTTCCTAGCGTGGGGCTGTCCTTACTGTGCTTGCATTCTTCTTATACCTTCACTCATCTGTTTTATTACAGGAGGAAATGCCTTAATTTTGAGAGACTTGAGACGCAGCTTAAGGCATGTCACTGCAGACTCGTGTTTTCTAAAGCCAAGGTAAATGTTTTAAAAGCTCAGACAATGAGACTGCTGAAACTTAAAGCAGTGTTTAAAAATGTTTTCTCTCTCTCTCTCTCCAGCCTTCAATCTTGGCACTGTCTGTTCTGGCACTAGAGATTGAAGAACAAAAACTGCTGGAGCTGACAGAGGCACTGGAGTTTCTGCAGTTGCACTCCAAGGTGTGTGTAGATAAAGTTTCAGGGGAGGAAGGAATTAAAATGCATGCAAGGGCCTACACACAGGGGAAGGAGGAGATCCATTCGCATACTGGTTTCTTTTGTGGCTTTGTTTTTTTTCTATTTTGCTTGGGATCTTTGGCTTCCTATCTTATGTGAAGAAGCTGAATATATTAAATAAGGATGAATTATTAACGTATAAGATTCTGTCTTGCTATTTAGATAAACAGCAGAGATTTGACCTTCTGGAAGGAACTGGTGTTAAAGTGCCTTACAGAATATTCCTCGAGCAAGTGTTCCAAACCAAACGGGCAGAAACTAAAATGGATCGTGTCTAGACGTACAGCACGGCAGCTTAAACGTAGCTACTACAGAATAACACACCTTCCTACAATTCCAGAGACCAGCTCATAATAGGTAACTCCTGGCAAGACCAACTTCTGATAACGTAGAAGTAATTGGCTGTTAACTGCCTCAAAGTTACTCGTTCCATATAGGTAACCTCTTGTAAATAAATGTAGTAGCCCTGTCATAGAGACTGGTGTATGTTCATGCTTGAGCCAGTGCTGTGCCTGTAGTGGCAACCTAATATATGAACACTGGAGAAAGAACTGATCTTCTGGTGTGCTGTGGAAGCAGAAGTGTGTTCTGCAAACATTGGGACCTCATTAAAACTGCAACGTGGAGTAAAACTGGTAAAAAGGCACAGAAAAATCTTGGCTTGCTCCTATCCTAGAAAGAATCAGCTAAGAGGAGACAGTTGCCTGTTAGGATGAGTTTCTTGTAGTCATTCACTTAAAAGGAAGACAGTTTTGTACAGTTTTACTTGTATAACTGTTTAGTAAAGTCTATAAGCTGTAATTCAGTTATTAAATTGCAAACTACTTCTTTATCTAGACCTTAATTACAAAGGCTACGTATTTTCTGTAACAACTGCCTTGCTGTATTAAAGTCTGACGCTTGCTTTGACTCTTGTAGAAAGCCCTTCAGTTGACTCTTTGTTTTTGGGTTTTTTTTACAGGAGTACAATAAAATGAGGAGAAAACCATCCTGTGACTGTCAACAGACACATGAATGTTTGAGAAACAAAGCCTGAAACGTGATCTTAACAATGAGGAACTCGACTCGTGGAAAGAATGTGTTACATTTCAGACTAAATATGTTATTTTCATGATTATTACAAAAATACCCACTGGTAGTTTTCAGTCTTGTTGGTTTGACTGTTTGCTGTTCAGTGAATTCCCACAATACCAATGCAAGGAATTTTAACGCCTTACAGTTTGCAGAGCAGCTTGTGTAGTCTAACCTTGGTTTGCTATAACTGCAGGTGCCAGGTTACATATTTAATTTTAAAAACCTAGTTCACTTTCCAAAGGTGACGTGGCACTGGGAAAGCACCACGTGCAGTAGCACAGCAGTGCAGCGTCTCAAACTAAAGACTAATCCCACTCAGTCTTGGTGGCAACAGCAGATACCTGTCAGTCCTGCTGACGTGCTGTTTGGGCAGTGTCACCTGTCCATTGTCCCTGCTGGGCAGGGCATGGGCCTTCTGCCACAGAAACACATAAAACATAGGCTATGTAGGTTAAATATACCTACAGAACAAGTAGCTAGAGCAGGAGAGAAGAGAAACCTCATTTCACTGCCTTGTAAAAGGCAGTCACTAATACAGCAGCAGTCACTTCAGTATTTTACAAGAGGTGTAGTTCAGAGACTACGAATTACTTCATAGAATGGAAAGACTTCATGAAACCTGACAAAGGCTGAAGGTAAGTCCTGGGTCACCTGCCCCAGATCTAAAATGAGGTTTCCAGAGTTTCACTGTACAAGAGGTAAATGCTGAAACTGAGCAGGTTTTGACAGGCACAGTTGGAGCAGGGCTGATGCCCCAGTGGCCTGTATGTAGGAGCAATCTAGCTGAGATGCTGAAGATTGCTTCAACTCTGTTCTCTTTTATAGTAAGCGTCATAAAACTACAACTGTTTTTTTTCTCAAGATCAGTACTTGAAGCATATCGTGCTTCTGGTGCTAGCAAGGAAGTGGATTATAAGAAAGTATTATTGTATGTACGATGAACAGAGGCGTTGGGGGAATGTTGCTGATGACCCCTTGAATTCTGCATCACGGTGGAGCAGAGGCTGTTGGCCATGGGCTGTTGGTAACCGATTGCCATGTGAATTGACTTGGTGGAGAGGGAAAAATAGGAATGTTCTGAATACTGTGTGGGCTTAAATC